GAAAAAATCCAAGTCAGGTAGAAATGCGTGAGAAGAGAAGGGGAAATAATCGATAATGTCGATCATTGCCAGAATATTGGTAATTAAAATACACTTGATAAATTTCATCCCTTACATCCAATGTTGCAAATTAATAGAGAGATTTCCAAGATGAATATTGATCGAATATTGGAAAATAAAGCGTGACTAATGAATATCACAATTCCAAAATTCCTTTTTTTAATGGTAAAGAGGAAAAAACTTCGATTTTTAAGAGTTTCGAGAAGAAAAATTTCGAAGAAATAATTTCATCTTCTATTGACTCGATCGTGCCAGAAATTATCCAGAAATAATCGTTTCTAATAGTTTCGTACACGACGTCTTTCGTATCGATAACTCGTCCCAAGTTTATGTGAGTCAACGAGGAAATGTGCAATGCTCGGCGGAGAAAAGGAGATCGTTGGTGGGATTAATTAATTCGTAGTGGATGGCAATCGTTTCCGACACCCTCGATCGAGAAATCCAATTCGAAAACGTCGGACGTGAGCAGACCATGCGTGAAGGTGGCGGCAAAAGAGAAAATGGTGTTCGCCATGTGTCTGCATGTGTGTGTGTGTTACAAAGATTGAGCGGTGACCTGTCACCGCTTCTACGGGATATTGTAAATGTAGGTGAAGAGTAAACGTCTATTTATAAACGGGGGAGGGGGAGAGTTTACTCCCCGTGCATCATCGACAACACGCTGGCTTATTCAAGCAGCGACCCCCTCGATATATCATCATTGATGTCGACCACCCTTCTTGCGAATTTTCGTTCAGATTTTCGGAATCGATCTCGCGATGATCCTTTGCCGGAACGAGAATTCATATTTTCATTTTCGAAGTAATTTTTCTTGGAGTGACCGATGAAAATGAAAGATTCTTTTTTTATTTAACGAGATATTAAAGTATGATATTAAGACAATGTATAATAATAATGAAGAAATTACTAATAGTAATCTTTTCGTCTAAAAATTGACTTAAAAATTCAAATACGCTATCTTTGAAGCAAAAAATTTGCAAAAAATTTAAAAAATTATAGTGATTATAGTGATTTAAATGACTACAGTAGTTTTAATCGTATTAGTATTATATAAACATCTATTTAAATAGAAACAATCGATAACAAAAATTAAAAAATTTATAAAAATGTTTTCGATTATTACTACCTATTTCGACTGTTACTACCTATAAACACAGTTTTGGTAAATATAATACATAAATATGATTAAATTGTATGTAATTTTATTTATTTCTGTTATTAAGTAACTTTCTATATTAATTTTCTCGAAAACGAAGATTCCAATGAAAAAAACGCTATATCAAATTTTTTTCTAATTTTCTCATATAAATATACGAAATTGTATTTTGTAACTAAATAATTTTTTTTAAAGAATTTTTTAAATTGCTTTTTTTTTTTTTTTTTAAAGAATCATTTTTGTATCAAAAAGATATAAATATAATATATGCGTGTGTATGTGATTAAGAAAAAGAATGAATTATCACGTCATACAGGGGGTGGAAAAAAGTGTTACTAAATTTAGTTAGTTCATCGGAAGTATGACGAATTTCAAGGGTTTGTGAAAAGTTTCGAAGGGGGTGTGATTTTTTTTTCGAACAAGCGTTTACGTAACAAACAGTACGATACGAAATTATAGTGTCGTAATCTATAACGAAACAGGTAAATTATTATTTTTTACGATCACCGAAGCTCCGCCTTAATTTTATCTGCGTGAGGCAGGGATGTACGAAGAGGAGACGCGCATAAAACTGACGGCGCTATGGCAGGTGCCACCAGTCTCAGTTTAAACGCGGGACAAACCTGTTACGCGTTTCCTTCGAAGTGGAAGTGTTTTGAAAAAGTTTGAACAACAATTTCCTAATAGAAAATACATAGAAAAGTGTATTCGAACATTCAACTAGATTTGATTTTTCCCTTGATAATTGAAAAAAAAAAAAAATGAGAAAACAAATTGGAGTTGTGAAATAATTGTGAAGAAAAGAGAACTCTGTATTATTTAATAAAAGGAAAAAAGTAAAGAAAAATAAAGAGATAAAAAAAGAAAGAAAAATAAAAATAAGAAAAAGTAAAAAAAAAAAAAAAAAACAAAACGAAAATAAACGAAAAGATAGAAAAGGTATTTCGTCCCATGTATTTCTTTGCTTGCGAATGACGTTTATTTCATCTGTAATATCGATAAATGGCGCTGAAAAATGTCACGATCAAGTTTTAACCGAGAACGTGCTTAATCAAACATGAGTTTCATTGGCACGTACTAGTCTCGCCTTCGAATTGCATTCCAGTCAGCAATTATCATGAACATCGATGAGTTTCAAGTACGCGGCAAGGAGATGATCGAGTACATTTGCGAATATCTCCGCACGTTGGAAGGAAGAGGGTGACGGCGAACGTGGACCCAGGATACTTAAGGCCCCTACTTCCCAAAGAAGCACCAGCGAAAGGGGAATCATGGGATGCTATAATAAGGGACGTCGACAGGAAAATAATGCCCGGGGTGAGTGTCGACTATGTGGACTCGATTATCGATCCCCCTTTGTTGATTCCGACCTCTTTCGATGTTAATAATATTCGCGAATACGAAAAAAATAGAAGAAAAAAAACCCATGATCGTGACAATGGATACACGTATTTTTATCCATTATTATTTTATATTATCTCCTATATTATATCTTTTATGATAATATTAAAATCTGTATAACGTCAACAATTTTTTTAAAACCGAATTCAATACCGAATAATCAAACTTCAGAACATTGAGAGAACGCCAATGCTTTACAGATCACGCACTGGCAGCATCCACGTTTTCACGCCTACTTTCCGGCGGGCAATTCGTTTCCCTCGATCCTCGGGGATATGCTGTCCGACGCAATCGGGTGCATAGGTTTCTCTTGGGCCGCGAGCCCGGCCTGCACGGAGCTGGAAACTATTGTTCTGGATTGGTACGCAAAAGCGTTAGACCTTCCACCGGAATTTCTAGCCGAGCACAAAAGTTCGAAAGGCGGTGGAGTGATACAAGGGTCCGCTTCCGAGTGTATTCTGGTCACCATGCTTGCGGCACGAACGCAAGCTATTCGAACTTTAAAGGAGCAAGATCCGAACACCGAAGATTCCGCCTTTCTGCCACGATTGGTCGCTTATTGTTCAACGGAGGCGCATTCTTGCGTAGAGAAGGCGGCGATGATCAGTTTGGTGAAGCTACGAGTCTTGGAACCGGACGAGAAAGGTTCTCTGCGTGGTAAGCGACTGGAATCCGCAATTCGAGAAGACGTGGCAAGCGGTTTAGTGCCATTCTTCGTCTCGACCACTCTTGGCACTACCGGATCCTGTGCGTTCGATAATTTAGTCGAAATCGGACCTGTGTGCAAACTCTATCCTAATATTTGGCTCCACGTGGATGGTGCTTACGCTGGTAATGCGTTCATATGTCCGGAAATGAGGGCATTTATGTCCGGCATCGAGCATGCGGACTCGTTCAATACTAATCCCAACAAGTGGTTGCTAGTCAATTTTGATTGCTCTTGCCTTTGGGTGCGTGACCGAGTGAAACTCACGTCGGCACTTGTCGTCAATCCATTGTATCTTCAGCACGCTAGATCCGGTGAATCTATCGATTACCGCCATTGGGGAATACCTTTGAGCAGACGATTCAGAGCGCTCAAATTATGGTTTGTGATGAGATCGTATGGAATCACAGGATTACAAAAATACATAAGAAATCATATTAGGCTGGCAAGACGATTCGAGACTCTAATGAAGAGGGACAAGCGATTCGAGATAACCAATGATGTGAGAGTAGGTTTGGTCTGCTTCAGATTGAAGGAAAGCGACGAGATAAATCAGGAATTATTGGCAAATATCAATGCATCCGGCAGACTTCAC